AAAGGCAGCGTAGAAGGTGGCGTGGAACCGGGTATCTCAGACTGGATATCCGCCGAGACGAAAAGCAGTTAAGAAATTTTTAATTTAAATCTTTTTATTTTTTATTTTTTCATCTGGAGCAAAAAAAAAAAAAAAACAACAAAAAAACAAAACATATCTACCAATAAAAACAAGAAAAAAAACAACAATATTCCCAATAAAAAAAAAAAAAAAAAAAACAGCAACATAGCTATGATCTGGCAAGAAAAAAATGGATGTAACAGCATTATGGCTACTGCTGCTCCTTCGACCTTTTATCTTTTTCAAAAACTATTTTGGCATATCAGTGACGAGACCTTTCTGTAATGATATCGTATAGAGTACATAGCATAAATTTTTTCCTGTCTTTCTCGGAGTGGATATACAATGTCTATCTGGATAATGCCCAGTTATACTGAATATTTCGAGAAGCGGTCACACTACCTTGATGCAACTAAAAAAAAAAAAGCAATCAAAAGGGACCTTATTGCATAAGCGACGGTACACATAATTTCCCCGGGTTAATCACTATGCAGTGAGATGCCACTGAGTAAGTTTGCATTCTGTAACCATCAGGTTCATACTGTTCTTTTTTTTTGCAATAAATGTACAAGGCCCAAGAGCCACTCGAGCTAGAATGTTACAAAGTAGGGGACACAGATTATGGGGAGATGTGCGGAAGATAATGGTTAACCGTAGACTTGTACAGGTTAAGATTTTAGTGATCGGGGATGTATCGTCTTGGGAGCTGATGCCATAAAGCAGTGTTTAGTGGGAAGAAGCTGCTCCAGTGTAACTTACTTCTAACAAATGGAGTACAAAGAGAATGAGGGTGGTTCGCTGCAATGGGTGTGGCATAGCGGGTCTTGGTCGTGAAAGTTAGAACTGGTTGAACTAAGGAAATAATTTGTCCGAACACTTACCGTGAAAATAGTAGATAGAGAAGTGGGAGGCTTGCAACGTTTCATGTATGGGAAAGGATTTATAGGGTGGAAATAATTCTTCAGCCACGAGGTCTAACATACAACTGGAAGCTAAAGACTGGGTAGCTCCAGCCCATATATGGCAGCAGGCCGCCATTTTTGGCCTGGTCTGGCCCTTGTAAAAGTATAGGATAGAAGGAGGAGTTAGGTACTTACTGGCGTGTTACAAGGGACCGACCATTTTCCCAGCATCTTTAGCGAAGATTTGTATCTTGAGTCCCAATAGGCGCTCAAGGCATGGTGCCTGCCTGAGAGAACTCACGTTCATCACGATAGGCGGAAATTCAGGGTCTCCTCGGTGATGATGGACCGTCAACAATTTGATTTTCGAGGCAGTGAATGTGACCAAGCAGTTCCCCCAACCACGAGGGAGAGACTCAGCAATTATAATTTTCTTTCTTCGTGCATTTCTTTTTTTTTTTGTAAATTAAAGCATTAGCTTGTTAGACTAGCTCTACAATCTACAACCTATGTTTGGCTTCCTGTGACTTCTGGCTTTTTTGCAATGCTAAAATCCGCACTGAAACGACGTGGACGAGATTAAGGAGATCGTGACGATCCAGAGAGAGAAGTAGGTTGACTGTCTTAAAGTGAAAGGGATGCTGGGATAAGTGCTCAAAGGGAACATTGAAAAGAACTTTACGTCATTGCTATAGGAATGCTATTTTTTTTCTTTAATATATGGCTGGATAATTTCCAGACATATTCATGGCGTAACTTCAGACGTTAATATAATTATACTCAGAGATTATTAAATGATTTTAAAACTTTGCACACAAGGGCACCCCTAACCGTGTCAGACTAAACTAATTAAGTAACATGCGTAAAACTAATGAAATTAATCAATTTCGAACTCATTACCTAAATTTTATGTTACTAAAAAGATCTGTTTTTTCAAACAAATTTTCTCTTCAACTTTAAAATATGGAACGCTGTATGGGATGATTTCTTCTACGTTTCTGTTATCGATTCCCCTTTTAATCCCAGAAATAAAATCGATCACTTATTTTCTCTTTTTTAATCAAATTCGTTTCCATATTTATTTATTTGAACTGGTGTCAAGAAACATTTTACAACGTACAAGACGCATATGGTCTCACCCCAAGTTCGACTACACTACAATCATCTCCATTTCTTCCGTATTCAAAATGTTGGAGCTTGATCACGATACCTTTTTTTTTTAATTGCATCAGAATAGTTTCAAATTGACTTTTGGGTTCCAAATATCTAAACGAACCATTAAGCCATCCCCTGGAGACCAAAATTGTCCTCTTTTCACGGCACCGTAGGCCCAGAGTAGGCTGGAAGAAAGAAATAGTTAATTGGAAAGGTTAAGCCATTTTGATATTCTTCAAAATATCCAGAGGTGGAATCACGCCTAAAATCGTTTCGTCAGATTCTTTAATGTTAGTCCTGGCGGGATGCGATTGAGGAGCCGTACGCAGAAAATTGGCAAGATAAAATATCAAAGACTGACACCAAGTCAAGAGATACTAAAGGGAGAGCACTTTGTTCCCTATAAATCAAGTTTAATTACAGATCTTAGTATCCTGGTTTAGATTCAAATGAGAGCAAATCATCTGGTGATGGATTTTATTTGCCAACAGTAACCCAAAACCTAAAACGAAGAATGTTATTTTTTAAATTAAACTTTTATTGTTTATATCATGGAGGAATGAGAACCTAAACCTTTCACTAAATAACTTTTTCCAATGAAGGCTCGGGCTGATGTTTTTAATAAGTTTTAAATGCATATACTAGTATTTTGCAATGGTAGACGATTGATTAAATATTATTAAAAATCCTAACCGCATTTTTGTCACAAACCTTTGAAAATCAATAACTGCAAACCAACGCGCATACGTATTCTGCATCAGATATATTTTTATAAATGTCTGCTTTATTTTCTAGCGACTAACGCAAGTGGGGATTTCTATTTCTGTTTTTGTATTGTTGGGGTTACATTTTTTATTAAAAAAATTCACTGTAAATCAATAAAAACATTTCTGGAATATTGTAGATATTAATAACGCATGAAAGAATATTAAATATTGTGAACTTTTAGTACATTGTAAAACATTAATTATAAAGATGAACGCTTTCGGTATTAATGAATCATGAAACATTGTTGAATGTAATTTACTCTTGGGACATTTGAAGGAAACGTCGAATATTTGAAAGGATTTAAGAGACCTTGGAAAATTGTAAAATATTATTGAATATTGGGAATTATCTATGAAATCTCCGTAAATTATAGAATTTATTAAATATGAAAAGACTTTAGTGTATTTATGAAATTCTTGAACATCGTAAGACAAATTGAACCTAGACAAATTGAAGCATTTACTAAATATCAAAACACTGGCGTATATAAGAAATCTTCAGCTGTTGTAAGATATTTAAGACAAGAAAATTGTTGAATATTTATTAAATAATATAAGGGTATTTATGAAATTATATTAGGATATTCATAAAATCTTCGGACACTATAAAGAATTAAATATTGGAAAAGGTTATGGCATTTATTAAATCTTAGAATATTGTCAAATATTTATCATATAATAGAAAACATTAAAGTATTTATTAAATTTGAATATTTTATGGTATTTATTTAAACGTATTCTAGAGGAGTGAATCAAGACTATTTATAATAATGTGGTTTGTTTTATAACATTTGATTTTTAAATGATTTTGCTTCTCTGTTTTGCTCAAAGGAAATTTAATATAATCATAATAAAGTTTCGTGAGATTTTGAACTAAAATTGTGAAAAAATGTATGTATGTATCAGGTCAGGTCACTCTATGAGTGCTACTGCTAATTTGTAGCCGAGTACTACCTGCTACATAGTCCGTTAATAAGTGTGGTTACACATTCTTCTTCTTTATGTGTCGTGTTCCCCCGGGGCATAGGCAATAATGGCTCTCCACAATTTCCTGTCCTTTGTTACTGTTAATAATTTTAATTTTACCCATTTATTTATGCTCACTAAGGATGTTATGTATTGTCATTCTCTGACCCTGTCCTGTGAGTATCAGATTTTCCAAGCTCTCCTTTCTCATCATACGCCACAGAGATTTCAAATTTCTCTTCCTGATGTTAAGTATCAGTTTCCTTCTTGTTTCCATTTTCTCTAAAACCTCGTCGTTGCTCACATGTTTGGCCCATCGTATCCTCAGGATACTTCTGTAGAACCAAATGTATGAATACCATGTTTTGAAAATCACGGCTCTGCACAATTTCCTGTCCTTTCTAGCTCTTAATAAATTTTGATCTTTTCGTTGTCCTAAACCCTGTTTCGCCATCCATTTACTCATGCCCACTAAGGATGCTATGCATTGGGTACCTCTGTATCTCTTGCCTTCACTCTGTCCTGTGAGTATCAGATTTTCCAGGCCCTCTTTCCTCATTATTGGTCCCGGAAATTTCAACTGACTCTTCCTGATGTCCAATATGTTTCGTTTTTGTTTCCATTTTCTTTAAACTTTGACGTTGCTCACATGTTCAGTCCATGGTATTCTCAGCATCCTTCTGTTGATTCAAGTTTCTTCTTCATCTTTAAGGAGATTGTCCAGCATTCAATGCCATATAGGAAGACAGCTACCATTTAATAATTCAGTATTCTTTTCTTTGTTTCTAACGAATTTTTTCTCTTTCTTGATACTTTAAAAGCCAAAACCCATCAAAAGGTGGACGAAGCCTTCATGGACTCAAATGCAATGTAACCGTGGCGCGCAACGTAGAAATAATTAGGGTGGTGCCCAGTAAGCTCGCTATGAGAGTTGGACACCTTAACCTTTGTTAAAGTTTTTAACTAAGAGAAGGGAAACCTCATGTATTACCTGCGGTTTGACAGTATCCGATGATGCTGACTAGTAATTCTTTTTGGGTATCTGCTGTCCTTGTTCAGATAGTAAGATTGGCTCAGTGTAACGCGATTCCGCACTTTAAACATTTCATCTACAGGCGTTCTTATACTTGACAACGAAGTGGCAGCCATCATGCATCTATCCCAGTCTGCACATATCTATTTATCTATTGATAGATCTCAGTCTGTTGATATCTATCTATCTATCTATCTATCTATCTATCTATCTATCTATCTATCTATCTATCTATCTCACTCTATTTATATCTATTTATCTATCTGTTTCAGTCTGTTCATATCTGTTTATCGATCGATCGATCTCAGTCTGTTCATATCTATCTATCTATCTATCTATCTATCTATCTATCTATCTATCTATCTATCACGGTCTTCTCGATCATAAAATCCTTCCTAACAGGTAGGTCCCTGAAGGTAGTTATTAATGGCCAGTTCTCCAGAACACTAAAGGTCAACGAAGGCGGCTTCCAGGGGTCACTCCTGGGACCAAACCTTTTTTGATCTATATAAATAATCTGCCTTACAATATTTTCAGATCATTTGTAAACATCTATGCCGATGATACGACTATATACGGGCGCACCTCTGAAACACTTATTGCTCAGAGACTGGCGACTAATCTCTCTTCCGATCTTGTACAAACTACCCAATGGGGTAAAAACTGGCTGGCCATATTCAATACCTCGAAGATCAAGCTAGTTACGTTTCATCATCGCCTATCTGACCCCGAATTATCACCAATCAAGATGAACGGAGGTACTCTCGGGGAAGCACCGTACCATGAAAAACTCAAACCTGTATATAGTGGATCTCGTACATCCGATTTATTCATAAGGATGTAGGTTAAATGATCTGCTATCTGTATCGCTCCAGCTCCAGGCTTTCCTTGCTATCCTCTATCTTTACAAGCACCAGATCAGGCTAAAAAGCAGTACTATTGTCATATTTGGGCAGGAGCTGTCCAGACCTCACTCACCAAACTTGAAAGAGTTCAAAAGTGTCTTCTGGGTGACGAATTATTCTCCACTCTTCAACCTCTCTCCCACAGGCAAGCCTCTTGTTGTTCTACCGCTGTTTCCATGGAAAGTGCTCGAACGAAACACATTCCCTGGTCTCGCCGATGCAAATCTTGTCAGTAAGAACACACCATGCCACCTCCATAGTAGCAACCCACCCCTATTCCCTTCGTTCCACTCGAGCAGCTTCTTCCTGTGAACAACTGCAATGTGGAACCGACTCATAACTGGATGTTTCCCCGATCACTACAATGTTAACCTATTCAAGGCTAGGGTTAACCGTTCTCTTCCACTCCTATACACACAAATGGCCTCCAGACGTAACCCCCTAACTCTAGTGGTCCCCAGGCCTTATAAAGAGTGAACCGTGCTGCAAAAAAAGGACCGATGCCATATAGACGCAATGTTATACGACACTAACATGCTAATATGCTGATAACCACTTCCTTTATCATACTTTCGACACAGCGTCAAAAATACTAATCAGTGATTATCAAAATGCCTTCTGCGAGACATGTTTGCTAATTACTACTGTATATTTCGTAGGTCAATTGTCGGAATTTGTTTGTCATTTGTTGGGCATTTACGCGCTGAAGAATAAATTAAGGCCTTGTGTGCACTTAGGGCACGTTAATCTGATTATGCTGAATTTTGGCACTCAGATGATTTTTGTCCCTATGGGCGGGTTCTTACATTGAAACAATATAAGTATATCATTCGCCCATGCATTGAATATTGTTGTTACATCTGGTCTGATGCTTCTGCTATGTATTTAGAGATTATTGATAAAATACAAAGAAGAATCTGCAATGTTATTGGTTCTGACCCGGCATCTTGGCTCCAGTTAATTTTCCATCACCCTAAATTAGCTTCCCTGTGCTTTTTCTGTAAATATTTTCTCGGCAATTTTTCTGATGCGCTTTCCTCTTTGCTACCAAGACTTTATTTAATTTAATTTATTCTACTATATTGGCACCAAGGTTCGTCATCTTACAGTTGAAGTGGCTAGAGGCAACCGTAGGTTCTATGCTAACAGTTTCTTTCACCAAACTTTTCGCTTGTGAAACTCTCTTCTGGCTTCTTGCTTTCTAGCCAACGTTGATCTTCAAAAATCTAAATGCATTGTCAAACGTTATCTTCTGTCTTCTGACGGGTGGAGTTGCTAGTTACACGCCCAAACCGTTTTGAATTCAGTCTTTCTCTGAGAGGTTGCCTTTCTCCGAGACTTTTTGCTAACCAATGCTATCTAGCCAACTATTCTTTGTTATTAACCCCTAGATGGTGGTTGGTGAGATGGATTTCCAAGATTATCTATGCGAAAAGTGAATGTAAGAGACTCGGCTGGAATTTGAACTCGTCATACCAATTCCCCTTTCGACAATTCCATTTTTTTATTTACATAACCACATTACATAAAGACATATATAAATTGGTTTCCTGTTTTAAAAGTTTACGATAGCCGAAGTTAACCAACGTTGATCCTGGTCAGTGTCTAGATGGGTGACCGCTTAGGAATACCAGGTGCTGTAAGCTTGGATTTGCGTGTTGTGTAATGGATGAAAGCTTGGAATACGTTATATTGACTTACGCTCAAATACCCCTGGGAAAGGTATGAATCCCCCTCTTCTCTGAGCAGCTATGGGTTAATTAGTAAGACTTGTATCACTAAATCATTATTATCTCAAAAAAGAAAATAAATTCTTACAATCCAAAAATATTTTCTGGTTTTAAATAATCTGTAAAATGTTGACAAACCGTAGGAAACGAATCAATCAAATATCGATTAGCTACACAGGCATGTCTTTTAGATTTATTTATGTTCTCTGGACTATAAATGTATAAAAACTACGTGGCCATAAAGTGAGGGATCAGTTTATATAGTAATTGTAACATAGAACTGATCTCCCATTTTATATCCACATTATAATTTCTTGTTTGCTTGTCCAATTCTAATTAGGTACGAATCAACCTCTTCACCCAGCCATGGGTTAATTAATAAGACTTGTATCACTAAATAATTATCATATCCCACTCTTATAATCTAAAAATATTTTCTGGTTTGAAATAGCCTGCGAAACGTTGTTAAAACGTAAGAAACGAATCAACTAATGTTTTAAAAGAGAAATTTTCTATATTGATAAGATAATTATCTAGCTATTTACGTAGATTCTTTTCGTGCCTTTAAAAAGAGAATATAGTGCCAACAGCACAATATCAGTACGACATTAGTTCCTCTTCTATCAATATTCATAGAAAGTATTGTAGCTATTTCCGTGCAGAAACTAATGCATAGCAGTGTACTTTAAATTTATTCTTAACTATCACTTAGTTGTTAGTATGATACATCCGTCATTGTAATTGGTTCCTCAAAATGGAAATTACTAATGACTGAACCAAATAGTTTGTAGCCTTTATGATGGCTGTGGCTGCCAAACAATTACAATTTTCGAGTTAAATTGATTTGTGGCTGCACGTTGCTTGCAATCACATGATAAGGTATGTAATACATACACAAAACTCATTGGGGGTCACTGAAGGTTTTTTTTTTTTTAGATAAGAAGTACTCCTTTTATAAACGAAATGAATGGACGAGAATGAACTTGGCTTTTTTTTTTGTTTGTAAATTTAGGGCAAAGAAACATTCTAAAATTGCCAAAATTAACTTCTTCCATGTGAACTCCATTCAGAGCTTCCTATTCTTTGGGGCTCTTAGTAATATTTGTCTGTTCCTCTCACACTATTTCTGATATTCATTCACAGGAACGTGATCGGTTATTCCCTGTCTATCTTACCTGCAATATATACCGCCAGAATCAAATTTTCCAAGAGTCCCTTCCTTAATATTTGTTCCAGAAATTTCGGACGCCCCCTCTGGATTCTAATTATAGGTCTCTTTTTTGTTTCCATTTTACTTAAAACTTCTTCGTTGCTTACACGATTCGTTCATAGTATTCTCAGCATCCTTCTGTAAAGACATAATTCTGTTGACTCAAGTCTTCTCTTTAGCTGTAAGGAAATTTCCCAGGATTCACAGCCATACAGGAGGATTAATAATACATAGCTTTCAGCATACTTTTCTTTGTTGCTAACGAAATGTTACTGTTTAGTTTTTGGAAAGCAATTTTCTGTTATTCTTCGGATTTCGGTGCCATATTTTCCATCCTTTGTTAAAACATTTTCCAGCTATTTTAACTTCTGTAGTTTTTTTTTTTTTAATTTTGACATCTCCAATTCGTATTTTGCGTCTTGGGATTTTTTTCTCTTGCAATTTGTTTCACTCCTTCTACTCGCTTTTCTTTCCTAGATTTTCTAGAAGGCCTTCTAGTTTTCCTTCTGTGTGCTATCAACAGTGTCTTCTGTGTATCTTATGTCGTTAATATTGTGGCCACTGGTAATAGATATATATAGAATATTCAGCTCTCCTATGATATCCTTGCTCTAGAGACTGAATAAATCCGGTGATATAATCTATCATTTTTATGTGTAAAAAGCGAAAAGCAGTCAGTGGATCTCTGAGCATTTCGTCTTTCGACGAGTGATGCAATCGACGGCATAACCACTAAACTATTGCAACATATTCGTGGATAACTTCACCTATATAAGTCAACTGACACGATTTAAAGACTTCAAAAACTGTTTAGAATTCAGTCGAGGGCCTAAACTTGCATTGTGTTTCTCCCAAGAGTATTTAACTTAAAGTTGGGACGCCCATCATTCTTCTCAAAAAATCTCAGCACCTCAAAGTTGTGAAATTGAACCAGTCTAGCTATCAGACAGCTTCTCCCAACAGATCAAGAAGACAATTATCCTAATTCGGTTAGGCAAATAATGGCTGTATTCAGTCCTAGAATTTCTACGATTTCAATATTTTGCCCAGTTCTCTGATCTTAATATACTTCAACCAACATTTTTATCAACTGGGCTATGTCGATAAAAAGATCAAGTATTCAAGCGACTCAAAAAATTGAAACAAAAACTAGGAGAGTTGCGATACTAAAGCGAAATAAATGAAGTTGAGATATCCAGAAAAGACATTGCACTTGGAACTAGAAGAATCTACCCCGGTGTACGAAATAAAGAGTTTAGTTCGAAATTCCAACGTATAACACTTGAAGAAGGCCAAAGCGTACAACGGCCGAAATGTCGGGACAATAAAGATGAAGATAATGCGAACAATGTAAATAATGTAAAAAGTAAATGTTTATAGACTCAGATGTAAACGGTCAATATTTACCTATCATAGAAATGATTAAATACTTAGAGACTCTAATATGAAAGACAAATATTTACCTATCGCCATATCAAGTAAATGCATAAAATTTGACACATAAACGAACAATATTTTGTCGATCC